TGGCTTGCGGGCCTAGAATCTGAAGAAAACTTCAACCGTTTATTCAGGCTTCGCTTTGTTTTGGGGTTCTGCTCTAGGCTGACCTAGAGTCCCTCTGATCAAGATATGCCCTGAGCGATGCTATGCAATTTCCTTCTCTCAACTGATGTTCTCCAAGCTCAGTTGGACTTGCAAGGGAGTCCACTCCTATTGGAATACCCCACAACTACTGGACCACTTGCCGTATTTTCCAATGATAAAGCCAGTTGTAGTGCCTGTTTGAAGTCCATTTGGCCTTCAGCTAGTAGGCACTTTTGCATGGTTATGTCATTAATCACACCTTCCAAATGGTCTTTAACCTAAAGTCACATCCGTCTGCCAGTTGTCTTAACTTCGTCAAAAATTGCAATACGGATTCTCCTGGCTCTCAAATTGCCAAATAAAACTGATAGCATCTCAGAATTAGAGGAGGCTTAGGTCGTAATATTCCTTAACTAAATCTGTCAACTCTTGAAAGGTTTTAGTATCTGTGACTCAGGGAAAGTTAGGTTCATTATAACCAAAAAAGCTGCAGGTCCACAAGCTGTCAGGAGAATCACTTGTTTCTTTTCATCTGCTCCAATGTCATTTACCTGGGAAAATAACGCATTCTTTTAGAGCCAGTCTTCAATGGCAGGATTAAACAAGTAAAGCTTCATAAATAACGCCTGAAGCCAGAAATGCTTACCCCCAACTCAAAGATGACTGTTGCAAATGAATTTCGTCAGGAGGTTGCTTTGCTCTTGCCGTCATTGAAATAAGTTGTCAGATGTTGGTATCCCATCACCAAGTCACCCTTTATTTACATGTGGAGAGTCCTTGACACTGGTCCAGCTCCCTCGGAGCCAACTCTCAGAGTAAACAGGATGTCTGATGCTCCTGTTCTTATCTGTCAGCCAGGGCTCCCTGATTATACCAGGTTAACAACCCCAATTGGGGAACTCATATTCTATGAGGTCCACCTGTCTGACCTTGTTACAATCACTACAGTAGGAGTGCCCAAAACTAGACAGCATAGATTTCAGGTGAGGGGGGAAATATTTAAAAAGGAGGCGTACTTTCTCATGCAGAGGGTGGTGCACATATGGAACGAGGGGCTGGAGGAAGTGGTGGAGGTGGGTATAATTCCAACATTTAAAAGGCATCTGGATGGGTACGTGAATAGGAATGGTTTAGAGAGATATGGGCCAAATGCTGGCAAATGGGAGTGGTTCACATTGGGATATCTGGTAGGTGTGGACTGAAGGAGATAGTATAAATTGCAGATGCTGGAGAATCTGAGATAACAAGGTGCAGAGCTGGATGAACACAGCAGGCCAAGCAGCATCAGAGGAGCAGGAAGGCTGATGTTTCGGGCCTAGACCCTTCAGAAAATTTTCGGAAAGAAGGTCAGCTTTTCCGCTCCTCCACTGCTGCTTGGCCTGCTGTGTTCATCCAGCTCTACACCTTGTTATCTTGGACTGAAGGGTCTGTTTCAGTGCTGCATGACTGTTGTCAGTTCCCTAAACCCCCGACCCTGCCACCTAGACATCCCCCCCCCCCCCCCCCGGCCAGTTACCTCCTGTCCCCTCTGTCAATCACCCACACCGCTACCTGTCAATCATCTCCAGTCGCTCCGCCTATGGACCGTGCGGATGGACCAATCGGGGGCCGCGGGAACGCTGTGATGACGTGCCCCCTGAGGCGGAGGCGCGCTGCTGGAACTGAACGTCACAAGTCGGGGGCGCGCCGGCGGAGGCGGGAGCGCGGGGCCTGAACCATGGCTGCGGACTGGGACGAGATCCGGCGGCTGGCAGCGGACTTCCAGAGAGCGCAGTTCGCGAGCACCGTACAGAGGTACACGGCTGTGTGCGGCTTGTCATTGACACTGTTACCCGGGCCGCTCCTCAGCCCCAGTACAGGCCTCTTTCCCCCCCCCGCCAGTAACTGCAGGCTCCCGGACAGTGCTCCCCTTTACCTGAAGGCCTCTCTCTGTCACCACTTGAGGAGATGGGAGGCTCTTTTTTTTTTTACTGAACTTTTGTGTGGTTTTCATGGTTACAACGCGCGGCCTGAGAGATGTCCCTCTGCTAGTTCCCCTCATCTCAGTTCGTGCAGCCAGTTTTTTTTAAGTTTATTGAGCAATGTGGAAAGTTCAACACGACCGCAAAACTTAACAGTGAGCCTAAATTGCCTTGATGGAAGGCACAGGGCGTTTTAAATTGAGACTGTTTTTCGCAAACCCTGCAAAATTATGCAAAAATATAAACGTTAGAACCGAATAAATTAATTTGAAGTTTATGTCTCACCATATGTTTGGAGATGTCAGCTGGAGAAGTTCAAATTTCTCGGATACATAATAACAATTTGTGTTCATGAAGAAAGTCTTTGGTGTTTTAAAAGGTGCCGAGAAATTTCACAAGTATACTATGACAGAAAATATGACATGACAATATGAAAAATCTGACCAGATAACCAAATACCTGATCGAATAGGTTTTGTGCACTGCTCGAAAGGATCAATTGAGGTGCACTTTCCTAGATCTTAGCGTCCCAGCAGCTGAGGGTATAAAAATGAAAATCAAGGTACTCGTGATCTGTGTAACTGGTGAAGATTGTAGGGATAGGAAGCAGTGAAATCATGGAGGGATTTAGCATCAAAATGCTGCAGATCCAGTAACCAGTCTAAGTAAGCACAGGAGTGACAGATGAATGAGACTTAATGAAGCTTAGTGTGGTTAAGGTTACAGGCAGCAAAGTTTCAGCTCAAGCTCATGAAGGGTAGAAATTTGGAGATCAGCCAGGTCTGCATATTGCCTCAGTCAGATATGGAAGGAATCAATGATATGGATGAAAGTTTCAGCAACAGATGAGCAGAGGTAGTGGTGCGTTGGGAGACAGAAGGGAAAGAGTCAGACAAACGTGCAGAAGTGAAATAGGCAATGTTGGGTATGATGCAGGTACAGTATCATAGAGGTCTACAGCATAGAGGCCCACCAACTCTGCTTGTCAAAAACAGCCTCCTAAATATTCTAATTCTATACGTTCATGTAAAGAGACAACAAGGTGCAGAGCTGGATGAACACAGCCGGTCGAGCAGAAAGGCTGAAGTTTCGGGCCTAGACCCTTCATCAGATGAAGGGTCTAGGCCCGAAACGTCAGCCTTTCTGCTCCTATGATGCTGCTTGACCTGCTGTGTTCATCCAGCTCTGCACCTTGTTGTCTCGGATTCTCCAGCATCTGCAGTTCCTACTATCTCTGTTCATGTAAACCCACCTTAAGGTTAGAAATAATGCTGAGATTGTGAACAGTTTGGTTCAACTTCTGAGAAGGATGAAGTTGGTGGTCAGTGAACAGAGCTTGTCACTGATATATGGCATTAGTCTTACCAGTGTTTAACTGGAGGAAATTTGAACCTATCCAGTATTGATGTTGATCAAAATAACAGCCGAAAGAACTGCGGATGCTGTAAATCGGGAACAAAAACAAAGTTGCTGGAAAAGCTCAGCAGGTCTGGCAGCATCTGTAAAGGAAAAAAACAGTTGACTTTCGGGTCCGGTGACCCTTCCTCAGAACTGATCAAGGTCTCTGTGAATTTAATGACGGTGAAGTAGTTAGAAGTGGTGATGCTGAGGTCAAAGTGGATGTCGTTAGTATACATGTTGAAACCACCAGGTTTATAATACTTTTGACAATTGATGGCAACCTCACTCAAATTTGCAATTTTCTACCTTTACCTTTGGGAACTGGAATATGTCCTAATCTGAATTATAAAGGAAATCAAATTCAGTATGTTAGACCTGTGACATGGAATTTCATCCATGGATGCAATTGAGAAGTTAGACTCAAACATGTTTCTGTTGCTGGTACCATTTTTGTCAATATCAAGTTAGGCACAGGTCTCTTCCCTATCTCATTAGATTGTATCAAAATTTAAAATGAAAGTTAATCAGATTAAACAGTTGAATCTGAAGGAAAGCACCAAATCTACACCATATTTTTAAATTATTTGTAAAAAGTCATGTTTCAACTTCTTTAACTGTTATTTGTGTACAAGACGAACAAAGAATTTCTTTTATTTTGTTGTCTTTTCTTTATCCCATGTCGCATAATAACTTTAGTTAACAAAGATCTACCAATTTCCGATGTAAAACTTAACAGTTAGCACCAACAGCAATTTGTGGAAGTGTTCACTAACTAGAATCCTGAAAGGACAGTCGCAAAATTATAGGCTGTGTTCCATAAATCTAAATATATCTCTAGAAATGGAGTCAATTAAAAGCAGTCAGTTCTCTTGAATCCTTAAACTTTGATCAAATCACCCTTTGACCTTCAGAGTTCCATGGTATACAATCCCTAGTTTGCATAATTTGTCTTTGTAACTTAATCCTTGGAGTCCAGATATCATTCTGGTAATTCTACATTGCAATCCATCCAAAGCCAGTGTTATTCCCAAGATGTATTGCCTAGGTGTCATCTAACCTGACCTTTGCATAGATGAAACACAACTTTGACCTTCTGTTCTGGTCCCTTTATATACTGCTGTAATTTTATGCTTTGTTTTATACAATTTACAGTCCCGTTTAGCTTTATGCCATTGACAAACTTCAATATATAGCTTTATGTCTTGTCACCTAAGTAATTTGAATGTAATATAGTTAAGGTCCTGACATGGAATCGATGTGGGACACCATTAGACATATCCTGCTAATTTGACCTCCTGCTCACTACCTGTGCTCTCTGTATGTTGCCCCTCAGCCACTTTCATTACGTGGTCAATAAACTGTCATCAGTTTTTCTTGTCATTTGGGGATGTGGACTTCACTGACTGGGCCAGCAATTTCTGCTAATCCCTAGTTCCCTTGAGAAAGTGCTGGTGAGCTGCCTTCTTGTACCACTACAGGGGTATTTATTGTGCACCCATCATACTGTTAGCGTGACAGTTTCATGATACTAACCCAGCAATCGTGAAATAGTGATATATTTCCAGCTCAGGATGGTGAGTAGCTTAGAGGGGAACTTGCAGGTGGTGGCGTTCCCATGCATCTTTTGCCCTGTTATAGATGGTGGCACTCATAGGTTTGGATGGTGCTGTTTGAGAAGCCTTGGTAAGTTTCAACTGTGCATCTTGTAGATGGTATAAACTGCTACAACTGAGTATCAGTGGTGAAGCGAGTGAACATTTTGGATGTAATGCTATTTCAAGCAGGCTGTAGGAGTTGAGTTACTAACTGCTGGATTCCTAGCCTCTGACCTGATCTTGTAAGCATAGGTTTATATTGCTAATTCAGATTCTGGGCAGTGGTAAGCCCATGATGTTGATAGCGGAGGATTCAGTGATTGTAGTGCCATTGAATGTTGAAGAGATATGGTCAGTGCCTGAAACTGTGTAGCATGATTATTATTTACCACTTGTCAGCCCACGTCTGAATATTGCCCAGGGTCTTGCTTCATTTGGTTGGCTAAAGTATCTGAGTTGCAAACGATGCTGAGCAACTTCTGACCTTATGGTTGGATCTACCCAAAGGAATTCTTGAAGCTCTTGTGATGGGGAGGCAGTGTCCCTGTCTATATGTCAGGATGCCCATTTCCATGTGCCATCTGCTTCAGACGTGTGTAATAACCACTGTGAACAGCTTGGTTAGAAAATATGTACCCTGAGGAACTCCTGGAGCTGAGATGACTGACTTCCAAAACCACAACCATCTTCCTTTTGAGGTAGGTATGACTCCAGCCAATGGGGAGATTCTGTCAATTCCCAATTACGTGATCTTCAACTTCAGCCAACAATCTCTTATAAGGGACTTTATTCAATGTCATCTGGAAGCTTATGTAAATAACATCCAATGATATATCCTTCCCCACTACTTTGTTCTTCTCTTCAAAACTTGACTCAGGTTCATCAGATGTAACTTGTCCTTTATAAATTTATGCTGGTGCTCTCCGTATAGCTGAAAATTTTCCTGACGTACAGACACACTATGCTGAATCAAAGACTTGAGTAAATTCCTGATAGTGGATGTTCAGCTAACTAGCCTAGTGTTTTGCAGTTTAATTTATCGTTCTCTGAAATACCAGAGTTCCATGTTTAGTTTCCAGTCTGAAGGAACAGGCCTCGAATCGAGTGAATTTTGCATGATTGTAGTTAGGGTATCTGCGGTGTTCTAATCTGCTTATTTTAAAACCCGTGGATGAAAATTATCTGCTTTTGAGGATGTCTCAACTGTTAACATGTTTCGGGCCCTGGATTTGGGAAAACTTTCCAACATTTAATCATGAGACTTAAGACACAAATCCATTCAAAGAAACAAGAAATAAAGTCTGGTGTTGGTATGCATATGCATGTTCAGTTGAATTATTTCAAGAATTAGTCTCTTTAATGCTGCTCCTAAAAGTTTGATCTCATTTGCCTAAGCTGCCAGGAGCCCCAATTGGAGCATGCTCACATTAGAGAATTAAGGACAAGGCCAGCTTTCTGGGCAGCGATCCGAGCAAAATGAGTATTTGGTGATAAGACACACAAAATTGAGGATGAGTTGTGAAAACTGTGCAGTCCTGCAATAGTTAGACCTATTGTCAAAATTCCACAAGCTTCTAAGCCATGTAATTGATTTCTATCCAGGCTGCACCTCTGGGGGTGTAATTGTGGAGGAAGATTCCTATAGTCTTCTGAAATAACCAAACTTTATTAAGTATCATGTAATTTTATGGGACTACAGATGCATGTCTTTAGAATATCTTTGTTAAATTATAGAAGTAGTGTGGAACCTTTTAATGCTCATTTCAAGGCTTATAACCATAGCCCCATTTATTTGTTGTGTTTTCTGATTTCTATAAGATTCAAAAACATTTTCTTAGAAACTAGAGTACATTGTTTAGACTCTGAAATACATAGCTTCTCCTTATTCTTGTGCTTCAAATTTTATTTAATCTGTGCAGGTTGTCTGAACGAAACTGTGTTGAAATCGTTGCAAAATTGATAGCAGAGAAGCAGCTTGATGTGGTACATACGTTGGATGGTAAGGAGTATATCACTCCTGCTCAAATTGCCAGAGAGATACGGGATGAGCTTTACATTAATGGAGGTGAGTATTTCAAGTTGCACACAAACTGATAAATGTGTCTTTAGCTGAATTATGGAGAGTTTATATAAGATCAATATCAAGTTAAATGTAAAAACCACTGTTGGCTAGTCGTGATGGGTATCGGCTGGAAATAAAGCATGGATAAATATCGTAACAAAATTTACATTTCTTTTTCAGCCAAGAACGATATTTTCACCCTTAAGCATGTTGGCCATCAATAAAACAAATCTGAAAGCACTTACACTCATCAATAGTCAGCAAATTCAGTATCTATATTATCAAATGCATTGCACAGGCTCTGTTTCATTGAAAACACCTCCATCACTAGGTAATTAAAGGGAATCTTGCCTGAAAAAGAAAGGGTCTAGGCCCGAAACGTCAGCCTCTCTGCTCCTATGATGCTGCTTGGCCTGCTGTGTTCATCCAGCCCTGCACCTTGTTGTCTCGGATTCTCCAGCATCTGCAGTTCCTACTATCTCTGTATTTTTCTGTAGTTGTGTATGTAGTTGGTGCCTTGAAAGGAATGTCTTCAAATATGTTCAGTTTTAAGGTGTCCCATCTTGCCTTGTAATAATTCCATGTTTCAAACCACTTATTTTTTTAATAGGGGATTTCCAGTGTATTGTGCTTCTACTTGTCCCATTTCAAAATATGATTTTTTCCTTTATAATAATTTCTCTGATTAGAAGTGTTATTTCCACATTTGTAGTGTCTTTCAAAAAATCTTTTTCAAAACCTTTGTTTAAAGTTGATATTTTTGTCCAGAGCTCCGAATCAAATTTATATTCCACTTGCTCCTGATGCACAACATACTGAGTACTCAAGGACACACCAATACCATTTGTACTGAAAATGTTTCAGTTTCAGGATAGAGTAGCCTGAGCTAATGTTTATTTAAATCTAACAGAATATCATCCATTAGTTTCTAGCAGTTAATGCATTATTATCTTCTTTCAAGATACATGGTAGTATAAAGAGCTATAGGGCAGATTTCAAAAGTTTTATTTGGGTAAAATTTTATTTTATGAAACAATGGGGCAAGGGTAATCTTGTAGCTATTTGTTATACAACAATTATTAATACCCAGTATAAGTATTTTCTTTATTTTTCAGGTAGGATAAATATCGTAGATCTGCAGCATGTGAGTATGTTTAATATTAAATTTTAGGTATATATTGAATATTTAGTTTTACTCTGTCAAGGTTACAGACATTCATATAATGTTAAGAATACAGTCCCTGTTGTGTGGTTGATTAGTGATAGTTGAAATATTGCTGGATTACTGTCAGTCTTGCAGTGGCGATAAATATTGAATATAATAGAAAATTATTCAATGATCATAATTACCTTTTGCTTTCTTTGGTTACCAAAAGCTAGGGAACTCTCCCCGACAGGACACTAATGTTTTGTTTAATCAACCTGTTTGAGCATATTATAACACCCTTCCATACAGCAGGTGGGACTTCAACATAAATGTTTCAGGTCTGGGGAAGGTACACTTCTGCTGTGCGACATTTACCTTTACATTTACCTTGTAATCAGTTTGGATAGCTGTTGCTTCATGATCATCGACTTGTTGTTACTTTACAGACATTTTTAATCAACCTGTTCAGAGGTGTTATCACACTCCTCTGAAGCAGGTGGGACTTGAACCCAGGCCTCCTGGTTCAGAGGTAGGGATGCTACCACTCCTCCACAAGCACCCCAACCAGAACCTTTATGCTTAAAAGTTTAAGATGAATTGAAGACAAGTGACCTTAAGTATTCGAAGAAAAAAAAGGGGGAGGGCTCATTATGTCCCATGTAACAGCAGTAGTTTCTAACAGGTTTGTAAAACTTGCCATACATCTTGAAGTTATGATTGATTCAGTCTCTGCAATTTTATTTTCTCCTCTATTCTAAATTAATAGCTCAATGTCAGCCCAGACACTTGTGTGACTGAAAAATGTAACGTTTGTACAGATTAGTTAGTTGTTAAAGTTTTTCAATTCCTCCACCCTATCCCCAGCCAGTTTTTTGAGTTACAGGAAATAACATGATCAGTGCCACATCAGGTAAAGCACCTGTTGGAGGCAAACTAACTTCAACTCTGCTACAACTGCCTTTTCAGAAAGAGAGTTTGAAATACCCTCTTGTGAGTAAACATTCCTCCTTATTTTTGTTTTAAATAGGCAACTGCTGATTTTTCTTTTTAAAACAGTGATCCTAGATCTAGATTCTCCCACAAAAGGGAACATCCTTTGCACATCTACCCTGTCGAGACCTTCAGAATCTTGTATGTTTCAATCGTCACATCATATTGTTCTTAACTCCAGTGCACACAAGTCTAAACTAAGCAACATTTCCTAGTAAGACAATCCACCAATTCTATCTATTTAGTCTAGTAAACCTTCTCTGAACTGTTTCCAATGATGAATACTGAACGCAGTATTCCAGATGTGGTCATGCTGATGTCCTGTGTAACTGAAGCATAATCTACTACTTTTATATTGATTTCCCCTCACAAATTATAACATTCTATCGACTTTCTAATTACTTGCTGTACCTGTTTAATAGCCTTTTGTGGTTCATGCACAAGGCCACCCAGATTGTTCAGCAATATCTCACCATTATGTCGTTTTTATAATGTTATGTGCAAATACATGTAAACACTTTTTACATTCAAGAGATGTATTTATGCCCAAATATTTGTTATTCTTCACTAATTTGTACAATCTAAATCTTGAACCTTTTTTTAGATTCTTAATGTGGATCTAACTCACATTGAAAGCAAAGCAAGTGACATTGCTAAATCAGACAGCAGCATCCAATTCGTCTTGGGCCAGCTGATCGATGAGTAAGTATTTATAATCTCTGGTAAACAATGTTTAACAATCTATTTTTTCCAAAACAACGAGAGAATTTTTGTGAAGTAGCAATAATGAAAGTGAAGAATTATAGTAGGGTATGCTTCTTTCATCAGTAACATAGACTTTCGATTGTTAATCCTTCTGTATACCCATCTTCTAATTAAGCCCATATCACATGCTGTCTCCTTTATCTTCCCCTCCAATTCATCTTTAAGTTAACTTGTTACTAAGCCCACTGTCATCCTTTTTCAAGCTTTTGACTTGCCTCTGTTGTTCTACTGCCAACTTTCTCTTCTGAAGCCTTGCAATAGCTCCAACTTTATACTTCTGTCTGCTGAGGGCCATGCAGTTAGATTCTCGCTTGTTCAACATGTTGAAAATACATTAATGACATTCCATGTACCTGCAACCATTTTGTTGTCCCTTCTTATACTCACTATCCCTTTCATTTCTGTTTAACATTCCTTTTCTATCAATGTCTGTCCTCCACAATCTATCTTAATGAAACTGTTCCCATAGTTTCATTTGTTTCAATGGAGGTACCTCATCTCTCCCAATGTTAATCCATCTCACATGCTCAAACTCAAATACTGTGAACAAGGCACATTTACATATGGCAAACTGTTTTAACCGGCACACTCAATAATTTTTTGCTGGTTTGTATACCTGAACACTGGACATTTGCTGTATTGTCGCAAACTTGACGATTTCTGCATAGTCAGTTGAGGGTATGAGTAAGAAGGATCTCTGCTGGTAAGTTTTGTTCAAGTTATTATCTTAGCGATTTATGGTTAAGTAAAGTATAACAGTGATGTGTGTTCCCCTGCATTATGTTTCTATTACTTAATTTTTTTTACATTGATTATGTGCATCTCTTGATCAGCAGAAATATTTAATCAACCGGAACACCCTGGGTTAAGAAAACGTTTGCTATAATAACATAGGGATGGCATTTCTAAAGGCTCAAGCAGTAAAAAAAAATGCACGCGTGCTCGACCAATAATGGAGAAATTATAGATGAAACATTTTGTCACCCCTGCTAATCTAGATATTCAATATCTATAAGGATATTGAAGTGGAAAGACAGGCTCAGAAAGGGAATTCAGGTAAGTGGGCCCTAGGAACCTTAAACCACAGAAGTCCATAGGAAGGGCAAAGGGAGGGTTATGCATAAGGAGCCAGAAACTGGATACAAATCCTGGGGGTGCAAGGTGTTGGACATGTTAAAAGAGATTGCAGAGGTGTCTAGGCCATCAGGGGTTTTAAAATGGAAGGATTCAAATTTTTAATTTGTGCAGTTGGGCAATGGAAATCAATATCCATCATTAAAGGCAACATGATGGGCAGTTTGGACTTAATATGCAATTATACACGAGCTGTGAAATTTTGGGTTAGCTAAAGTTTTATGAGAGGTGAAGGATGGGAAGCTGATCCAGGAAACATTGGAGTAATTGACTCTGGAGGTGATAACATGTTTTGAGGTCTCATTAGCAGATGGAAAATAGTTGTGTTGGAGATGGATTCTTTTCCAGACATATACATAATCCATGGAGAGAGAGCAAGCTAATGTTTCAAGTCTAGATCACTTTTCACCAGAGCTGACGTGAGATGTGGAGGGGATAGCATTAAATGCTACAGTTGGTGAAGAGGTGGTGGAATGTAGAGTGCTGGGGGAGAAAAGATGTTGATAGTTTGGATTAAGTGATTGGAATGTGAGAATAGCAGAACCATGGTGTGTTTAACTGCCAGACTTGAAAGAACAGACAGTCCCGCGGGGATGAGGGAAGGGGAGAGAGTACATGGTGACAGAGAATGTAACAAGTAAAGCTAAACAAAAGGGAAGGAATGAGAGTTAGTTTACAATTTGAAAGTGTTGAATTCAATATTAAGTCCAGAAGGTTGTAAGTGCCCAGTCTGAAGATGAGATGTTGTTCTTACAGTTCGAGCTGTGATTCACTGGAGCACTACAGCATTGCCAAGGACATACATGTGAGCAGGGCACTGTGTTATAACGACTGGCTATGGGAAAGCCTGCGTCATGTTTGTGTACAGACTGGAGGTGATCTGCAAAGTGGTCATCCAGTCTGCGTTTGGTTTCTCCAATGTAGAGTAGACCACATTGGGTCAGCAAATGCATTACACAAGATTGGAGGAAGTACAGGTGAAATGCTGCTTCACCTGGAAAGATTGTTTAGAGCCTTAGGTGGTTAGTGGAAAGGAGGTGAAGGGGCAGGTGTTGCACCTTCTGCGGTTACATATGAAGGTACTGTGGGAAGTGGAGTGGTGTTTGTGGTCGATGAATGGACAAGGATGTCCCGGAGGGAGTGATCCCTGTGAAATGCAGGCAGACGGAGTGAGGGGAAGATGTGTTTAGTGGTGGCATTCTGCTGGAGTCATGTGAAATGGCGGAGAATGGTCCTTTGAATACAGTGGCTGGTGGGATGTAAAGTGAGGACAACGGGGACCCGATTACACTGTTTTGAGTGATGGGAAGAGGCAAGGGCAGAAGCATGGGTGATAGGTCGGATGCAGTTGAGGGCCCTGTCAACCACAGTGGGCGGGATACTACAGTTATGGAAGAAGGGTGCCTCGTCAGCAGCGTGGTTTTGGAATGTAGCATCATCTGAACAGATATGATGTAGACGAAGGAACTGGGAGAATGGGATGGAATCCTTACGTGACGTGGCATGTGAAGAGCAGTAGTGAAGGTAGCTATGGGAGTCAGTGACTTTGTAGTGGATGGCAGTGGACAGTTTATTCCCTGAAATGGAGACAGAGGTGTCAAGGAAACGAAGTGTCAGAAATGGACGAAGTAAAAGTTACGGAAACGTGGAAATTGGAGGCAAATTGAGCAAATGTTTCAAGGTCCTGGCAGGAGCACGAAGTGGCACCAACACAGTTGTCAATGTACCAAAGAAAGGGTTGTGGGAGGGGGCCAGTGTAGGACTGGAACAAGGATTGTTCCACATACCGCATAAAAAGGCAGTCATAACTGGGTCCCATGTGAGTACCATAGCCACTCCTTTGACTTGGCAGCAGTGAGATGAATCAAAGGAGAAATTGTTCAGTGAGAGAACAAGTTCAGCCAAGCGAAGGAGTGTGGTGGTGGTTGGGGATTGTTCAGGCCTTTGGTCGAGGAAGAAGCTGAGAGCTCTCAGACTCCTCTGGTGAGGAATGGAGGTATGGAGGAATTTGATATCCATAGTGAACAGGAGGCAGTTAGGGCCAGGGAACTGGAACTTGTAAGTATGATGGAAGGCATCAGAGGAATTGTAGATATAGGTCTGGACTAGTGGAAAGAGGATAGAGTCAAGATAGGCTCAGTTTGGAGCCACACAAGTAATCTAAATTTAGATAGGGTACCCTTCGTCGTTCAGTACTTCCCAGGAGCGGAAAAACTACACCATGTTCTTCGCAGCCTTCAATGACATTATCAATGACGATGAGCACCTCACCAAGATTTTCCCTACGGCCCCACTTCTTGCCTTCAAACAATCGTCAAACCTTAAGCAGACCATTGTTCACAGCTAACTACCCAACCTTCAGGACAACATCAACCACGACAACATCAACCACAACACCATACAACCCTGTCATGACAACTCTGCAAGACGTGTCAGATCATAGACATGAATACTACCAACACCACCCACCACATGCATGGCAGATTCTCTTTTGACTCGGCCAACATAAAACCTTTAGTTATCTCGGGGCAGTGACTTGAAAGAAATTCTGGGATTTGCATATTAATACTTTCTAAATGATTAAAGATTTAACTGCCATCTTAAGTTTGTTCAACACATTCGCATCAGTTCTATGACCCTTTGATCTGTTGCTTATAAATTCTGTATCTGTTGCTTATAAATTCTGTGTCTGATGCCACATCTCTCACTGACACCTGAAGAAGGAGCGAGACTCCGAAAGCTTGTGCCTTCAAATAAATTGATTGGACTATAACCTAGTGTCGTGTGATTTCTTACCTTAACCAGAGATTGTGATGGAGCATGAGAATTGAGACTGCATCAGAGACTTTGTTGGCTGGTTCAAAGACAATGGCTTTAGCCTTTCCAATGCTTGCTTTAGTGAGAGTGCAGTTTGGGCAAGGTATGAAGCAGATAGACAGTTCGCTATCACTTGCTTATCAGCATTAAAAGCTAAAATAACCTCAACAGATTTTCTCTTCACTGTTTTACTTTAATAACTTAAATGTTGTGAACAAACAGCTTTGAGAAAAGCTGGAGGTGAAAACTTTTCGTGCTGCATTCGTTGTGACTTGGTTGCAAGAACTAGACTTGGAAAAAGAGATATCAGTTGTACAGTATGCAAAGAGGATGATGATTGTTGGGCTATGTTTGGCACGGAGATAGTATATGAACAGTTATTCATTGTTCTTCAACCAGGCAGGGTGATTCTAATTGGTCAGGAAGCTAACATAGGGCTGTAGCAGGCAGTATTCGCAACTCTTTTATTTTTACTCCATGATAAAGTTGCAATGCGTGCACAAATTTCTTTTGTCCACGTAAAACAGGGTCTGCCCGAAACATCAGCTTTCCTGCTGCTCTGCTGCTGCTTGGCCTGCTGTGTTCATCCAGCTCTACACCTTGTTATCTCCTGTGCATTAATATGTGTAGCTACTGGAAAATGTATTGCACTGCGAGCAGGATTGATAATCTTAAATTGATTCCCAGCATAGTTCTTAGCACAGTCTATATTATTTAATGAATATGCTTAATAGCAGAATCATATTAAATGGTGGATCTATGGTTGTGAGTCTTGCAAGTGCAAGTTGGTTGGAAATGCCCAGTACGTAGCCTGTTGTGAACAATCGAAAGGATAAGTTATCTGATACAATCTGCCAGTCTTCAGCACATATGGCCTATATACTGGCAAACACCACCAACTATTTGCTGCATTTCCATACCAATGCTGGCTATCCAATCAACACCATCTTCTCATGTTGTATAAATTGATACCCCTTTTTCAAGTCTGCTTCTTGTGTCTAGTCTTGATGTGTGCAAGAAGAAAAGTTTTGATTTCTTGTCTCCTTTTCGCAACGTTTCAACTCTGTTATTCTTTTGAACGTTTTAACTCCACAACATGGCATTGATGTATATTCTTAACAATTCCAGAAATCTGTACTTGTTTCAAAGTGTCTGTTTATCTGCAGTCAAATGAATATTTTAAGTAAATAGATTGAGATGTGAAGACAATGGGTAAATTTACTTTCATTTAACCAGAACCTACCTGGATCAAATGGCTGAAGAAGTAAATGACCGACTACAAGAAGCTGGGCAGGTGACTATAGCGGAGCTGTGTAAATTGTATGACCTTCCAGCTGACTTTTTAACAGAGGTGAGTAGATATTTTCCATTGCAATTAAAATATTTGCAGCAGTTGATGTATAATATTAAGGAACTGAATCAAGTTCTGACAATTTCTAGTGATTTTTTTTTAAAGTTCTGTAGGGTTTTCGAAGTAATAAAACCAAGAATACATTAGTAATACTATTAGTTTTGAGTAGCCAATTGTAAAAGGAACATTCCAACAGGAACAGAAGTCTTAATGAGTTGTAAAATAATTAATTCTGCCATTGAGTGGGAAATGTGCATTATCATTGTCTGTTGCTTTAAGGGCAATGAATGACTATAAGTTGACACAGCTTGAGGTCAGTTACAGAGTAATTATTGGTCTTTAAATCTGGAAATTCCAATAAATCTGTGGCTGTTATGATTAACCAGATTAAGTCTGATATGTAAGATGACAAGGTGTAGAGCTGGATGAACACAGCAGGTCAAGCAGCATCAGAGGAGCAGGAAAGCTGACGTTTTGGGCCTAGACCCTTCTTCAGAAAATCAGATTTTCTGAAAAAAAAGGGTCTAGGCCCGAAACGTC